AGCAGCACAGTGTCAGAGCACAGAGCTCAGAGACACAGAGGAGCACAGAGCTCAGAGACACAGCAGCACAGAAAGAGCAGGCCCTCTCAGCAGCCTCCTCACCTTGTCTCTCCCTCACTGCTGTTCGGTAGATCTGCAGGAAAGCTTCCAGCACACGCGTGTTCGTTTTCCAGCCCTCCGGGTCCTCCAGCTGCCTCACCCAGCCCTGCCTGGGGGTCACGTTCCTCTGAGTGCTGTCATAGTAACTGAACTCCTCCCCATCCAGCCTCCCCACCACAGTGACGTCCGGCTGCTCCAGACCGCCAGGCCTCCCACAGCCGTAGTAGTACAGCGAGCGGACAACTGTAACACACACACACTGGTCACTGACACACACGACACTCGCGGTTTCTCCCGTCCGGGAGCTGAAGAAGAAGCCGTGAGGTGACGCCCGGCTGAGCTCCAGCAGACTCACCGGCTGGGACCAGCTGGGCCCCGCACAGCAGCAGCGCCGGAACCAGGACCCGGAACCAGCGTCTCATCGTGCGCCGGGACACCCGAGGCGAAAGGTTCGGGCAGCGAGGGGGGTTCAGATTATTTTGTTTTTCTTCTCTCTGCTCTGAACAGCTGGGCTCTGATGGCGGTGCGTGACGTGGCCTCGCTCACTCAGCACGAAACCGGAACTCAGCCGAGCCCGGCGTCCGGTGTGGCGAAATCCGGCACTGGGGAGAGGGGCGTGGTAAAAACCCGAAAGCTTTTAGAGATCGGTAACAAAAAAAATGAAACATTTGGGCCGAGAAATGAAAGTCTGAAAAGTAAAGTTCGCGCCGCGGAGTTCGGTTCGGGTCCGGCTTCTTCGCTCTTCTGTACACGGAGGGGGGTGGGGGTGGGGAACAAGCTGCATGTCCTGGGGCTGTTGCTACAAGACGAGATGTGGCAAAAAAAACCCATGCAAATGGCTTTTATTTTCAAGGTGTTTATTTCGAAATGACAAGGCGATCACAGAGCGCAGGGCTCAGCTGTGGCTCGTGTTCCTGTGGGTGTGGGGTCCTCTGGCTTGACCGCTGTCCGGAGTGGACAGGGTGAGGTTCCCGTCCTGCGAGCTGCTGCTTGTGTGTCCCAGTGCAATCGCCCAGCTCAGCGCTCTGGTCTCCCCAGTATAACCGGTAACCGCATTGTGACCTGTCTCTCCAGTGTGACCAGTCTCCACCGCAGTGTGACCAGTCTCC